AAGGTCAAAGGTTGGTCGGCCGACCCAGACAGCTGTGGATTCAGAGAGCCGAACTGTCCAGGGACATCTGTTCCAGGCCCATGTCCGGGTAGTTCTCCTGGTCGTTCTCGAAGTCCTCACGCTGCTCCTCGATCTCCTCCGTCCAGTCGGCGTAGTGGAGCACCGACTTGCTCACAGTCACCACCAGGTTCACCAGGTGGACCAGCAGCTGACGCCAGCGCCTCAGCCATGAAGGAGGAGCGGGCATCTCCGGGCGGTGTCACAGCAGAGTGTCTCGAGCTTAAACCGGAGTGGCAGTCACAGTCCAAACATCAGGCAACTCGTTCTTGTCCAAGGGCATCTGACAGGGCCAACTTGGAAGTTCTTCAGGCCATTCATCTAGGCGAACTGCTAGGTGACCGCAGGTGGAAAGATACAGCTGTGAAGTGGTGCCCAAAGCTCTATAAATCATCTTGCCCGTTGAAATGTCCGGGATGGCATCGAGTGTGGTCATGGTGTGGCGTGACATCAAAGCGGGTGCATCTTCTTCAACACATGAAAAGAACATCACACAAAAATGACCTCCAAGACCTGCTGGATATGCATACCTTTCTCTTGACCTCGAACTCTCGCTCGGACCGAAGCGAAAAGCACAGTTTTCCACGAAAAACAGTCTGGGGAGCTGCACGTGGTTGAGATGGAGCTCATGCCATCGGCGGCCAGCCACTTGTCGCTGACAGCCAGTGTCCACTATGGCCGCCTATGGCCAGCCATGGCTCGTCCGTGTACTGCATCATGTTGGTGATTGGGGGCGCGCGAAACAAATGATCAAGTGGCTTTCCATCAGCGTCTTCCTCAGGAACCGACCGCAGCAAAGAAGGCGGTCGTGCTGTTCGCGAGGCATAGACCATTTGGACCCGGTAGTAGGTCTCGGTCCGGTAGCCACCAGCCAAGGCAGAAGTGCTTGCCGCACCTGAAGGATGGCGCATCCTCACCATGGGATGCTCGCTCATCGGCCGAGCTGGCCTGCCGTTCTCATCGTCGTTCGCGATCCCCTCAAATGCCATGGCTCGGCGCCAGGGCGCAGGTGGTGGCAATGCCACGGGAGCCGGCTGGGCGGCTAGAAATGGGTAACCCTCAAGGGTCAAAGATGGACAGCCTATGTCTCTTGAGGTCCTTGGATCCTCTCCCCATTGTTGATCAACTCTTGAGGTCCTTGGGTCCTCGCCCCGTTGTTGTGTTCTTGAGGTCCTTGGGCCCTCACCCCATTGTTTTTCTACTCATGCGAAGGAAAATCATGAGATGAAGAATTGAAAGTTCCAAAATCGCTCGGAGCTTCACTCTGAGCGTCCTGAAATTCACTGGGCGCCCGGCTGGGCGCACATGAAGCAAAGTCGGACTCTGTGGCCCGAGCGGTTCGAAAAGAACCTGTTGGCGAAGGAAGCTCCCTCATTCCTGGAATGTTGCCATTTTCGTTCATGAGGGCGTTCAAACTCTGAGCTTCTTGCCTCCAGAAAGCCATGCCGTCTTCGTAGTCGGCATAGTCATCGGGATTCCATCCTTCTGGAACCAAGGCCTCCCAGGGCGGCAGGGTGTCCTCCGCCGGCAGTTCCCTCCTTGGAGGAGGTGGTGGTGGCTTCCTCGTCTTGGCGGCTCAAAGTGGATGGTGCCGACGACGATGAAGGTGTGGGATCAGGCTCAGGCTGCCAGCCAGGCATCTTGTTGTGGCTTGCCATCCAAACCACGGTGCCATCTCCATCCAGGGTGGATGAGGCTGAGCACACATGCGCTTGGTGCTGTGTGACATGTGGGCATTCACGAAGCCAGTGATCTGAGGCTCCGCAGCCCAAACATAGGCTGCCCTGCATGCGCTGTCTTTGGGTGGGATTCATTTTGGACTTCCCACCCTTTGAACCGGCTTTGGACTTGCCGGACCCTTTTCCTTTGGAAGTGGTCGTAGGCGAAGAAGAGGATGTAGTTCCCTTCTTGCCAAAACCCTTGTCCTTGCCAGCACCTTTTCCATGGCCTTTGCCCTTGCCCTTGTCTTTGGCGGTGGTGTAGTAGTCCCTTGACTGCACAGTCGCAGCCAGGCGCTTGCTCGTGGCCGTCATGGCCTGGTGTTCATCGCCAGCGTCATCGCCGGCCTCATACTCAGGGAGTTCATCGGGCTCGAACTCCTCCGCAGCGGCTGTATAGTCTTCAGCCTGCTCATCATAGTCAGCGAACTGGTACTCGAAGGTGTCGTTGTTCTGGTCGTCCTCATACTGCGGAGCTTCATCGCCGACAGTCATGAAGACCTCCTCCACTGGGTCGTCCTCTGCTTGCATGGCCTCGGTGTGCCATGTCTTCCAGCGGAAACTTCCACCTCTTCCCCTCGACCTCGGGGCTCGTGGAGCTGAAGCGACGTGGACAGGGACTGGATGTCGTGACATCCCCGTCAACGTCAGCCCTGCAGGATATTGGATGTGGATCGCCTCAACCAATGCTTGGAAGCTGTAGCGATTGCCGGCAGCTAGGAGCAGTTGCGAAGTGGCTCGTTCGTCAAGGCGGAGGCCATCGAGCAGCTTGACCGCTCGAGTCTCGTCCGGATAGGGCGGGACCTGGGCGTCCTTGAGCTTCCTCTCATAGAGTCTGAACCTCCGGAGGAAGGCGCAGACCGACTCTCCCTGGACCCTTGTCAGGGATTCGTACTCGCGGACCAGTCCTCCGCGACGAAACAGCTCGCGCTCGCCGAAGCTGATCTCAAGATCATCGAGGAGCTGCTGGATCCCGGTCTCCTTGTCGTAGCGCTCATCGTCCACCTCCCCGAGCTCCAAAGCGGCCTCGCCAGTGAGCGCGTCGAGCGCTCTCAGGGCCTGTTCGTTGGCCGGCAAAAATTCTTTTGTAATCATCGTCCACCGTCGCAGGGCGCGACGGTAATGTCGCAAGCAGTAGGGCTCGTCCTCCACGTTCCCCGCGAAGGTCGGCGGGGCAGGGATGTGGCCTGATCGCCACTTGCGAGAGCTTGGACCGGATTGGCCACGTTGTGAAGATCGTGAGCCTCTAGATCCTCTTCTCCTTGAAGGAGCTGCTGAAGAGGGTTAGGTCCCAACGGCCGTGCAGGTCCATTCACCAGGTCATCGTCGAAGTCATAGACCTGGTTGTCGTCATCATCATCCTCCTCCATGTGGTCAGCTGGGATCGCGCCATTGAAGGCGGCGTCTCCATTCTCGTCCGCGCCATCAGCATCGAAGGCCTCGTAGAGCTCATCGAAGTCCTCGAAGTCCATCAGGCAGCGTCGAGCGCAGCGGCGCTAACCTTTGCCGCGCTACCAATGCGATTGTCGGCTCGACAACGGAGCCTGGCCCCTGGATCTAAACGCTTGCACTCGAAGCAGCCTGTTTCTCCAAAGGCGTCGAATGACGTCATGTGCCCACCCTTCTAGTGCATTGGAGGTTAAATGGCAACAGGATCATGGCATGAAGTGGCATGACTGAACATGAAAATCTCACAAGGGACATAATCGACAGCCCGGTCATTATAACCTCGCAGTGTTGTTCGACAACTCGTTGAGAGTCTATGGAGTTAATGCATATCATCAGCAGTTCAAGCTGATTATACTTGGAACCGCCAATCCAGGCCCTGAACACTTCAGCTGTTGTATAATCAACCAGAATCAACCAGATCTGCAGACGTGATTTGTGATTTCATAAAGAACTGTGGAGAGGGCACCTCCGGTCTCAGTGAAGCTGTTTATCAAAAGGCCATGGACATCCATACGGAATCGGATTCACCTTTTTCAGCCAAGTGGGAGAGAACTGATTGTTGAAAAACCACGGACCACAGTCCCAACAAACAAAGTTTATATATATGTTGTTTATGAAATCAATCGAAGTCGACGTTCCTTACCTTCCTGTGTTGGCGAGCCTTTTGCGTAGCTCATTCACTACCATATTCAATGTCGAGCTGCAGGCCGACAAATGTGGCAAAGGAAAAGCTTCCTCATTTCCATTTCGGACTGCCAAATCGTGTTGTGCAATCACTTGGTCTGGCCTTGTCCATCTGAGCCCCACGTTCCCATTTTCAGCTGCCATAAACAACAGTGTTTCTCTGACATCTGCTCTGGCCTTGTCAATCTCCGGCCAAGACTCAACCATAACGGGGACAACTCCCATATGCCCATTACAAGCTGCAATATGGAGATGAGTGTTGAATTCCCATTGGCATCCATGGGAGTGCGTGGTTCATTGAGGATCTCTTGAACTTCCTCCGAATCATTTTCCTCGACATGCAGAATACAATTTGTGGTCTTTATCGACATCGGCGAACACGAAAGTACAATCACCAAAGGTACATGCTGATCGGTCACATAGATTTATATAATCATTGCCGATCTCCAGGTTGGTGGCTTCTGAATTAGCTATTACCGCTGCTGAAACCTTGGCACTCCAGTCACTGCCAAAGGTTTGTCAGTGCTTTTGCTGACTTCCTCTCAAACTTATCAATGGCCACTTCGGCAATTGCTTCGTTAGAGAATACAGAGAACACATAAAACACTGCCACTATCAGACTATAATTGCAGTACCACAGTTGGGAATGCTGTGCTACAATCTTCAAACGGTTGTGCATCACTCACGTTCCAAACAGTCATGAACAATCCCATAAATCGGTGAACAATACTGCCTCCTGAGTCTCTTTCTCAGATTGTCTGCCCGTCAATGGAAACAACAAGAGTTCACCCGACAAAGTCAACGTTGCATGGTAAAAACATTGAACAAGTATGACTGTAATGTACAGGTCCAACCTCAGAGGTTCCACAAGCAAAGCACCACCTACAAAATATTGAGAATATGTCGGTATCTCCATGGTCTAGCGAGTCTAGTGCACCTGTTCTAATGGTCTTCCATGTCTCGCCCATATTTCTGTAAGGCAAGCAAAACACAACCGTGGCATCCACCAAAACCTACTATTACTAGCATCCATCATTGAGACGCTCAACAAGCTGGTGCATGGGCTAGTTGACCTGCATATAGCCCCCAGGCCTGCCGCCAACTCTTCTTCCTGCACGGTTAGGCGTTGTGATACCGCCTCAGCATCCAGGCGCAGAACTGGCGTCGGTGGGTGAAGGGAAGTGGGTCACAGTGAGTGATGAGTGCCATGCCTTGCCTTCGCCTTTGAGCACCTTTTTGACTCAGGTCAATCCCCAAAGGAACCTGTTTCGATGTTCATCCTCTGGTAGTCCTTTTGCACTCTGACATTGTGTGTTCAATCCATTCGCACCTCCACTTCTGCTCGGAGCCGCTGGCGTTCTCGCTCACACCTTTGTGGCTGAACTAGAACGGACACCTTCCAAGAATTTTCCGTGTGCGATCTTGCCATGCCCAAGGGAGGAAGTATCCCAAGTTCATCCGACCACACTACCTGCATTATTCACCACAGAAACAATGAGCTACTAGGAACAAGTGCATCGCTACTAGTAACAAGTGCCTTACTAGTAGTAACAAGAAGCTATTAGAAACAATAAGCTACTAGGAACAATCTAGGCCCGGTGACGTGGCACCGCTCTGCTCTTCTTGCTGCCACCGCGCAGAGGTCTCCTTAGATAGTTTGTTTGCTGCCCTGAACTTTACACCCTTGGCATCTGCTGGAAAATGCTGGAAGGCTTTGGGATGATTTCAAAGAAAATCAATACTTCCTTTTGTTCAGAACATGGATGCAAATATCATCAAATATCCAAGGGCCATGATCTAGTCAGTCCTGCGGAAGGAGGGCCACAAAATAGTAAGAAACTGGAGAGGGAGAGATGGAGAGAGAGGGAGAGAGAGGGAGAGCGTGTAAGAGTGGGTGAGTGGGTGGGTGAGTGAGTGAGAATGGGAGAGTGACAGAGAGAGAGTGAGAGACAGGGAAAAACACAGCCAAACACTACTTGAAGAACAAAAAAGCTACTAGGAACAAGTGCATCGCTACTAGGAGCAAGGGCCTTACTAGTAGTAACAAGAAGCTATTAGAAACAAGTGCCTTACTACTAGTAACAAGTGACTAGTAGTAACAAGAAGCTATTACTAACAAGAATTAAATTTGACCTCACCATTCTCACTCCTCGAGGCTTCTTTGTTCCTCGCGGCATTGCCTCAAACGTGCAAAGCCCCATCAACGTGGACCTGTTTATGGAACACACATGTTGATCTTCACCTGCAAACGCCTATAGTAGGCCTAGAGAGCCGAGCAGGACCTAGAAGGTCCTAGCCTTTTGTCTGCTGCGAGTCTTCTGAAATCATCGGACTCTAGACCTGGCGACCTAGCTGAGTCTTGCACGAGCTCAACCGTTCACAATCCTCGTTGAGGGAGTGGGCTGCCTTAGGACTGGCCGAACAAGTGGTCCTTATGAGCTTCCAGACTTCCAACACTACCACTTTCGGCCAAAAGGACCAGTCCTTTGGACTCCACTAGACTCACCGGGCTTTGTTGGCGCAAACCTGCCTCTTTGGCTCGCAAAACCTCTCCGGTGGCAAACTCCGCACTCGCCCTGGTGGAAAGCTTGCAAAGAGCTTCCAGGTCTTGATGGTGGAGCACAGCCCACAAAAAGAGTGATATCTTATCATCTGAGTTCAGCCCTGGTGATCAAAGTCTCGAGCTGATCGGGACCCATTGGAAATGTGCTTGAATGTGGCTTTGCAATTTCTCCGCAATTGCTCTTTAAACTCACTCAGGCTTCAGCTTTTAGTTTTACAAATGAGCCAATTCGGTTTGAAGTGACTAAATGGAAGCCTACATCCTTGCGCTTGCAGCGTCTCCTGGCTTCTTTGAGCCGGTGTTGCGCGGCTTCGGCCTGCGAATTGTGGAATTGCACCATTTTACTTCGAGAAATTATCTCTCACACAAACTGAAGCTGAAGTAGCCATTAATTATAAGTGTGTGTACATGCAATAAATATATTGTTCTTCTTTTTTCATTCATATCCATGTCATGGAAGAGGCAAACCCACTTGAGACAAATAGTTGCGAACTAAAACCTCCCCGACTTCAGAGGCCTCTGACAATTGCGTTCGCAAGGAGCTTTGCATCCTGAGAACACTTGCACGGCTGAGAGTAGTCCTGCCCTTCTTCGCACATTGACGCTTATGGCAAATTCTGAAGTGGACAAAGGAATGTCAGTGGCAAAGACTCAACCATTGTCTCAAAGCTTTACGTTGCTCTTGGTCCAACGAGTTTTTGGGAATCCCTCGGTGATGGCGAAGCAAGAAGGTTAGATATGATGCCTGGGTCTCCCAAGTTTACGACACACTGCTTGGAGCGCCTTATGTGACAACATCCCTTTCACACTCGACTCTGAGGTCTCAAGCTGTGTCGTGGTCGCCTGATCAGAGGCAGTGACGAGCTACTTGGCTATCCCAAACCAACGCAAGACTCGGACAAGTGGACGAAAGAATTGTAGTTTAATAGGTCCAAGCACTGGGTCCAAGTAAGAGGAGTATGAAAGCAATGTCCACTTCGCATGATAGGAAACCCGCATGCAACTCATGGTCGGAGGTCGGAAAAGGTGCAAGTTGCCACCTGGGTGGTCTCAGGGGAGTCTTTTTGGGGTATCCACCGGTATCCACCCCTGTTTCATAATATGTATATATATATATATACATATGGTACCCCCTCCTGAGATCCACCCGCCCCGTGAGATCCCCTTTGATGCTCTCCCAAAGATTTATACTTACACGCAATCAGATTAGGGATTGTCCAGTCTGAACAGCTGTAAGACTTGGGATGCAAAAAAAATATGAAGGATCCCACTAAGCCATATTGAGTTCCATGACGGACGGCGTCTGGCGATGTGTCACCCGCAGGTGAAATTATCCAACTTTAACGACTCACCGGACCAGCTCTCGCTATGGTAGTAACAAGAAGCTAGTAGAAACAAGTGCATCGCTAGTAGTAACAAGTGCCTTACTAGTAGTAACAAGAAGCTAGTATAGCTTTAGCGGCTTTGAGCAGCTCAAAAGTCTGTGCGACTTTCAGAGATCCACAAGGGCCCTCCGACGCACCTGTCGGCGATCTGCTGAGTCTTGCACCTTCTGCCTGGCAGTTGCTTGGATGCAGTGAAGAATCTCTACCTCTGCCACTTGAATCATGTGGAAGGGATACTGACTTGAGCTAAGCAGCTTGAGCTAAGCTGACTCTTCAACGACGATGCGATTTGTGCGACTGCTTAGGCCAACGGGTTCTTCGGTTGTTCTTCCTGCCTCAGCTGCTCAGAGCGCTTTGAAGCCACATCAGTCGCTTCCTCGGCCTGGAGAAGTTGAGCCCAAGACCTAAACCTTTGAGTGGCATTTGCTCTTTGAACGTGTGTTGAAGAAATCAAGTAAGGTTTAAGGAACAAAGGTATATAGAAAATCTAACTGTCAGTTTGCCCTACACCTTTTTTCTTTGCACCCAACCTGACCTACTTGCACCACTGCATATTCCACGAATCTCCGGAGGCCTGTGCGACCCTGTCAATAAGCTGAGAAAACTTGGAACCTGCAGTTGGAGGTGAAGTCCAGTTCGGATTTCTGAAATGCGTGCAAAAACAATGAAACCAAAACAAAGGAAAATATTCATCTGTCCAAAGACTGCATGTTGCTGTCAACGACTCTCTCCATCCCTACTGATGAGAACATACTGACATCTAAGATTCCTACACAAAAGCTTCGTGATCTGCTCGGGGTCCTAGCGCTCGATCGCCCCAAGAGCGAACCAAGAAAATTGCATCTGATCTCGCAAAAGGTTTCAAAAACACAGAATGGACCCTCCGCTGACATGGATCCATCATGATGATGAGCTTGGAGTATCTTCATGGGTGTAGAATCTCTCTCGATCTGAATCCAATGGTCCAATGCTGGTGTGATTTGCCGCTCAATCAAAGTCGCATCTCCTGAACAGATTCCAGCAGCTCACCTTGGCTACCCCACAAAGAACCACGGCAAGGTTTCAGCCAAGGATTTGGCTTCAACTCGAATGTACAGCCGCACAAAACCCTTTGTGTGTATGTGTCACCTGCTGTCTCTAGGGACACCACTTACTTCTACCTACAAACCTGCACAGATTCAAGCAGGGGAGTGTGGCATGATTGTGGGACCGCACTCAACGAAGCTACCACAATCATGCGGTACCAAGTCTGATCAACTCGGCGCACTTGCTGATTTTTTAGATGCTGTGATGCTGTATTCATGTCTCACCTTTGTTGAAACAATACTGTTATTGCGGACTTCTTCACTTTTCGGTTCACCAAGTCAAGGTCAGTAAGAATAGAGTGCTATGTTCACCGCGCAGCTCTGAACTTCTGCTCTCTCGAGCGCAATTCTGAAGTGTGTCTTCCCACTGCGGTAAGCTGTGTGATCCCCGCCGGGCGCCGTTACTCAGTCCTCACCCCTACACAAGAGAGAATCTTTCAGCAAGTCCTCACTGCACCTCACCTTGACGCAGACCGTTTCTTGCTCGAATACAATATTGAAGAACAACACGACGCCCGCATCCTCCCAAATACGTCCAACCTAGACAAGAATTGGTCGGGCATCATTACGACGCTTAAAGCGTATGGACATGGTGCTAAGGTGACAAGCGTATTGCACAGGGATGGGCCGTTCACCCCAAACACTCCCGCCTTGAAGCAATCGCGTGGCAGTGCAATGATAAGCCTCCAATGAGTTTCATCTAATTCACAACCCGTAAACACCAAAGTGTGTATCCACTTTCTGCTGCTCGCCAAATTGCCCTCCAAGTTCAGTCCATCACGGACCTGTACACCGTTCAACCCAAGCAGTGTCCTTTCATGACCAAAATCTGCATTGTGTGTGCGTCACCTCCGGTTCTCCTTGTACAGTTTACCTGTTTGCTCAATTCAGCAGGGAGCTCACGGGTCTGTTCCGGGCGTGCCAGCAAAGGTCCAGGTTCAGACTAGGATATAAAGAGGGGACGCTCTTTCGTACCTGCAACTCTGTTTTTCACAGCGGCGTTTTAAACATCACTGTTCAGGCTGACTTCATCACCTTTAGCAGGGCGTTTGCAGAGGGCTCGTCTAGTCTGGTATTGCAGTAGCTCATCTTAAAGTGCCAACACTCACCACTGAAGCTCAGCTCTACGGAGCACTTATGTCAGGTGCGTAATCAATACTGTTCTTGGGCTTTCTCGCCTTGCCGTTACTCATAGGGCCATTTCACAGGTTGAGG